GACACGCCCGAAATAAGGGAAGCAGGGGGCGGAGGAGGAGACTTCATAGGCGGGCAGAGGAGGGATCCCCAGGGTCAAAACAAAAGAATCTCGGGGCACCATTTCCAGAGTATGGTGGAGCATGCCTGGGGTTTTGTGCCTGGGGACACGCACCCTGCGCGGGCGCTCATATCGGCCAGGGGGAGGAGGAGGGGAAGCAGGGGACGGAGGAGGAGGAGACTTCATCGGGTATGGCCAGGACCCCGGGTAAGAGGACCCGGTTAGTGTTGGGGCCCCGGAGCCTTCGAATCGGCCAGATTCCCCAAACCGGGTTTGCCGTCGCTGGTGTTTTTCGGGTGACGGCAGTTCCGGTTAGTGGAGACGGGGCGGGGGGGCGCCCCCGGTACAAATCACTAAACCAGGTTCCATTAAGCCCAGTTCTGCCAACGCCCGAGAGGAGATCTCAAAGGCGGGCAGGAGGGATTTCCAGAGATGGTCAGAACACTAATCTCGGGGCACCATTTCCAGAGTATGGTGGAGCATGCCTGGGGTTTTGTTCCTGGGGACACGCACCCTGCGCGGGCGTTCTGTCGGCCAGGGGGGGAAGGGCAGCAGGGGGCGGAGGAGGAGATTTCCAAGGCGGGCAGGAGGGATCCCCAGAGATGGTCAAAGCAGTAATCGCGGGCGGCAAAGAGGGGGGTGATGACTAGGGGGGGGGATATCATGGCGTGGGCCACGATATCTCCCCAGATTTCATGGCGCCTCTTCTTGTTTCATTACGTCCCTGGCCCCCCCGCTGGGCCGCGCACATGTCGCCGGTCATGATTTGCACCCCCCCCTCTTGGACACCCCCCTCTTGGCCGCTCCCGAAATAATCTCGGGGCACCATTTCCGGAGTATGGTGGAGCAGGCCTGGGGTTTTGTGCTGGCCAGTCTTTACTAGTCGTCCAAAAGTCCGCCCGTAGGTGGTCGCGCGCGACCTGAGAGGACATGGAGGAGAACAGGGAGGGAGGCAGGGAGGAGCAGAACCCCGAGGCCTCCCGGAGTGCCCGGCCGTCCGTGCTCTCCCTCTTCGTGGGAGCCCGAGCAGCCGAGGGCGTGGCACCCGCTCGCTTCTGCCCCGCCCCCCGTCGCCGCAGCCTTTGCGAAAAAAAACACAGTGGGGGAAAAAGCACACACTTCGTGTTTTTTGTTGTTTTGTTATTTGTTTGTGTTTTTGTGTGTGTTTTTGTGTGTGTTTTCCCCTTGGGAGCCGCGGCCGCAGGCGAAGCGAAAGGACACCAAGGAGCTGGACCTCCTGCGCGTGCTGGCGATGCGGGCCTGGCCCTCGATCCGCTGCCCCCTGGTCGCTGGTGGGGCCCGCGCGTGGCGAGACGCCGCGACGCAGCGAAGTGGTGGCAGCACGGTCGCTTGCGGGCCTTTGGGGTGACGAGACGCCGCGACGCAGCGAAGTGGTGACCGTTGCACGATGCAGGCAGTAGAGCCCCCAGGGGAGTCGAGGTCCGAGTTCGGTCCGAGGGGAGGGGGCAGGGGGATGGGCATATCGTTGGGCGTCTCATGGACGCAGCAAAGTGGCAACGGGTGCACGGTAAGCAGTCGAAAGTGCCCAATGCGGTTGATGCGAGGAGACAGGATTTGTTCAGAGGGAAGAACAATGGAGCAAGCTGGAAAGAGGAAGGGGGTAAGCAGGAAGAGTTCAGGCGGTGCGGGAGGAGGCCCCGTGGACAGAGAGGAACAGCACGTGTTCATCCTCCCAAAGTAGGACTCAGTTACAGGGAGGGCTGGGAAACATCAGGACGGCCAATTCTTCTGGGCTTGGGTCTTTGGATGCCCTTCTCTCGCCCTGTTGCGCAGATTGCACACGACTCGAAATGCTTACACACGTTGGGGCCAAGAGCTCCGAGGTGTCGCGCTTTGTGCAAGTCAGGGCGAGGTTTGCCTCGCGCACGAGGCAGGCATTCGGATCACCCAGCGCCTCTCCTTCGCCCACCGAGGTTATACGATACAATCAGCAGCTTCGGAAGATCAGCCGGGACGAGATGTTCGATGTTATAGACACTGGCAGCGCCGCCCCCCTTGCCAGAGAGGTTTGGTCTGACCGACAACCGTGTGTACGATGCCCCTCAGGTGACGTATGTCCTGCATGGTTGGGAGATTCTGGGGAAGGACGAGTGGCTGATACATACCGGGAAAGCGTGATCTTTTGCGCTCAGACTGCGCCTCTCTGTTCCTGTTCACGGCCTCCGCTCCCTCGCCGGCAGCCCTCGACCGGGTTTTGCCGCTCACCTGCCCGGACATCCGATGCCGTTGTGCGATGTCTTGTCCTTGTTTCCATACGTGGTCCCCCCAGCAGTTCCGACCCCTTCCTTTCCCCAGGACCAGTGTTTCATCCCGAACCGTTTGTGACTCAGGAGGGGGAAAAACACACAGACACAATGAATCGCCGATTCCCCAGAACAGATGGGAAGATATAAGAGGTGGGGGGAAAGATGAAAAGCCAGAAAATATGAGAAAATATGGGGAGGGGGGGGAAGACGAAACGCCAGAAAATATGGGAGAATAGGGGGAATATTGTCATTTGTGTGTATTTTTTCGTGTGTCCCAGGGCCCCTTCACAGTGATTGTCCTGGGGCACGGCGCGGGTCCCCGACGGCGGAAGCTGCGCCCCCCCCCCCCCCGTGGACTGCCTTCTCCAGAGCTGGACCTCTGCACGCCGTTGCGCTGGACCTCGGCTGCGCCTTGCGTCTCGGCAGGGAGGTGCAGGAGGAGAACACGTAGAGCCCTGTGTAGGGGAGCAGAAAGTGGCATGAACATAAAAAACTTGGAGGTCCGCGCGGATACCTCGGATCGGCGCTGCCCCCCCCCCCCCCGTCAGCGTGTCCGGGTCGGCCCTGCCCCCCCCCCCCGTGTTGCTTTCTCCAGGGCTGGACCTGCACGCTGTTGTGCCGGACCTCGGCTGCGCTTTGTGTTTCGTCCTGGCAGGGAGGTGCAGGAAGACATGCAGAGCAGCACGAAACGCAAAACGAACACAAGCCTAAACACAACTTTTGGTTCAGCCCTCGGCTGCGCTTTGCTTTTCGTCTTGGCAGGGAGGTGCAGGAAGACACGTAGAGCAGGACGAAGAGCAAAACGAAGACAAGCCGAAAAACAACTTTGGGTCCCCCCCGTGAACTGCTTTCTTTAGGGCTGGACCTCGCACGCTGTTGTGCTGGACCTCGGCTGTGCTTTGTTTTTCGTCTTGGCAGGGAGGTGCAGGAAGACACGTAGAGCAGGACGAAACGCAAAACGAACACACACCGAAAAGCAACTTCTGGGTCCAGCCCTGTGTAGGGGAACAAGAAGTGGCATAAACATACAAACTCGGAGGTCCGTGCGACTTTCTCGGATCGGCGCTGGACCCCCCTCCCTGGCGCGCGGAGCGCACCATGGGCGGCGCCGGAGGCGCCGCCGGGGGGCCCCAGCGCCGATCCGAGAAATCCGCGCGGACCTCCGAGTTGTTTTATGTTTATGCCACTCCTTGCTCCCCTATACAGGAAACACACACGGAGCAAGACGAACAGCAACACGAAAACGAACCGAAAAACAACGTTTGGGTCCAGCCCTGTTGTCTTCCACGGCGCCCGCATGTCTTGGTCGGCCCTGCCCGTTCTCGCCCTCCGCGGGCGAGGGCCCGGCGCGGGAGGTCTCGGGCCCTCGGCGGCCGCCGCCCGCCGCCTCGCGGCCGCCGCGGCGAGCCGGCTCGGGGAGCCGAGCGGTGCCTCTGCCGCGGAGCCCCCCCCCTGGGAGCAGAGGGAATCGGTTCGGCACAGCGTCGGGGCGCCAGTTCTGAGTCGCAGCGGGGGACGAGTTGTGTCTGAGTTTAGTCGCAGTCGCGGTCGCAGTCGCAGTTTTGAGTCGCAGTCGCAGTGTTAAGTCGCAGTCGCAGTGTCAAGTCGCAGTTTTAAGCCTTCACAACAAGTGAAGGAAAGATGATCAAGAGGACGAGTTGTGTCTGTCATGTGTTGACTCTTTGGGGGCCTTTGTTTTGATTGGTCGCCCAACGTCCGCCTGTAGGGCGACATGCCCGATCTGACTCAAGCTCTCAGCTGCCGCCTGCCGCCACCTCGCGGCCGCTGCGACGAGCGGGCTCGGGTAGCCGGGATCCGTGCTTCTGCCGCGGACCCTGGGAGAATGGAGGATCGTGTCGGCGCAGCGTCGGGGCGCCAGGTGCGCACGGGCGCAGCATCACCAGAGACATGCTCGCGCCATGGCAGGATCCTGATGGGAGGTCTTTGGATGTTTTCTCGGAGGCGATGTTTCTCCCCCAGTCCCCGAGTTCCGCCCGAAAGGTTTGGCCGCTCAGAGCAAGGGGGAGAGCCTGGGGTACACCCCAAGGGGGCTAGCCGGACGCACCCCTGTCGAGGATGGGCGCCGCCCCCCCTCGTATGTCCCAGGGCTGGGCCCACAAGTTTCTGGTCCATCTCGTCACCACCCGCCAAACCACCCCAAGCCAACCCGAAGGCTTCAAGTTGCCCTCCATTTCTGGTGGGGGGGGGGGCGGGGAACATCGTAAAAGCACATGGAACGCGTACCCCCCCAACCCGAAGTTCGGGTCAAATTCGGGTCTTCGGGTTGAACGTGGGTGGGAAACCCAGCCTGGGATAGGGGTCGACGTATCCCCTGTTATTCTTCGGCCCCTGGAGGCCGCCGCCAGGCCCCAGGACCGTCGCCAAAACGCTTCGGGATGAAGCGCTGGCCCTGGGGAGTGGGGAGAGGGTCGGGGCTTCCGGGGACCCCGGGTGGAACACGTCAAGGCATCGCCTGTCTGGGTTTGGTTGGGCTCGTTGGTTGCATCAGCTGTGCAGGCGTCGTGTTCTGCGTGCTGCCGGCCTGGCGACTTGCCCTCGGGAGCCTGTGCACAGGCCCTGGGCCAGCAGCACTGGATCTGGCCAGGCGAGTTGACGTGGTGCGGGGGCCCTGGTCCCCGACCTTGGGGGAGGGGGGGCCCCACTGGCCCGGGCCTCCAACTCTGTCGTTTAGGGCAGGCCCCCAGTTCCCATCAGAGCTTCCAACCAGTAGAACGGGAGGAGGACAAGCAGGACGTCGAGAAGAACAAGGAGGATCAGTTCTGTGATAAGGAGGAGGGGATGAGGGGAAGGGTGATGATGAGCACGGGGGGAGGATGGTAGGTAAGATCGTAGGTGAGGTGGGGGAGTATGATCGAGAAGCAGGCCAAGAAATACGATGCCATATTTTTTTGTTCAGCACGGGATCCCCGGAAGTCCCGAACCTTTCTCCAGGGCTGGGTTCTTCGTCCCGAGGTTAGTTATTTAACGGTCCCGCGTAACCAGGCCAACCCCCGCACCCCCCTCCGTCGGGGAACGGTGACTGGGGGGAGGGGCCTGGATCCCCCCGCGCCTGGACCGCCCCGCCGCCAGACCGCACAGCACCCACCCTTATTGGTGATGACCTGCGCGCGGCGCTCAACATCGAGGTCCGCGCGCAGATCATCTCCGCTGGGGGTTCGGGGCCGGCCTTTTGGGGGGTGCTAGCTACGGCTCCCACAGCCCAGCGGTTTTGGTTGTCTTCTCTTCGCTCCTGAAGGTATGTGGAGGATTCTGGCACGCCCCTTGGGAACTGCAGGAAGGCTTCGATTGCATAGTGCTCCGTTCCCTGCCGCGCAGGGCGCACTGGCTTCATTTCCCAGCGCGAGTGGCTGAGCTTCTTCGAATCCGCTGACACGGTGCCCTGCAGGGGGGAGGGTGGGGTAAAGCAGGATCGAGGCAGGGGGCAGGATAAGGAGGAAGAGGAGGAGGTGGATGACGATCAGGAGGAGTAGGAGCAGTAACCAGCGCAGGAAGGGCGGCTGCGGTTGCGGCACGGACACCGGCAGGGCAGGAGGTAGAAGTTGGAGGACAGGGGAGAAGAGATAGAGCGAGCGAGCGAGCGAGCGAGAGAGAGAGAGAGAGAAACAACCATGAAGGTATACGTATAGCGGGGGACCCGGCCCGGGGACCGCCAGGCTGGGACCGCGACCGCAGCTGGGGAGGCTCCAGAGCTGCCCCTTGCAGCGGTTGGTCCGCCGTCAAGGCAGCTCGGCAGAGCCCCGCATCGCTCCCGAGGTGGTCTCGAGGGCTCGCGGACCGTCCGCGAGGCATCTCAAACGGCCGAAAGGGCGCCAAGGCGTCCCAGGAGCACTCCAAGGGGACCTCCAAGAGGGCCCTGTGAGGCGAAGATCGTCTCACGGAAAGTTCTATCCGTCAAGGTTTCGCTCTCGGCCGCCGGCCCCCCGTCTATCATGATGAGACATGCCAGAGCTATGCTGTGATGCTTGGGTACCGAGCTTCAGAAAAAAATGACGAACTTCATGCAGGGACGATTGGGCCAGCTTCCTCGTCATGCTGTGCAATGGAGGCTCTGCTGGATCGACTTGGGGCTGCTCGAGACCATATTTGGAAAACTCGTGCGGCTGGGACGGTCTTTGGGTTCCATGCTTTTGTTGTGAGCCCGCTGCCTGCGGTAAGTCCCGCCACCGTGCCGCGGGGGCGTGAATCAGGATTAGTTTGCAAGGGATCGTGGCCTCGGGGGCGCGCATCGGGTGCAAGTTACGAGGAACGTGGCCCCAGGGACGCGAACCAAATGTATCTTTATATGACCCGAGGCCACCAGGGAATGTTGAGAACCCCAGGGGCCGTGGTCACCAGGGTGGTTCTCGGCTCACCCCCATCGCGCGGGCAATGACAGTTCACAGTACATGGCAGGGATTATAACCTTACGTTCGACATCGAGGTTTCCAAACAGCGTTTGTCTAGCACGGTATGGGCTGCAATCTATGTGGATCAGTATGTGTAGATCTGTTTATATACACCTGTTTGTACATACATATATATATATATATATATACACATGTGTCTACCTATATACACATACGTCGTTCAACCTAATCGGTGCAAGTGATTTCTGTGCGCAGTGAGTTGCCAACTCCACTGCTCGCACAAACATCCCGCCCAGCCAACCGCAACTTGTTTTGCATAAACCCTTGTGGCGGCGATTGCGATGAGTGCTTGGTGCTGGCTGGTGCATCTGTGCGGCCGCCCTAGCCCGCGCATGCTTGCGCGCGCAGCGGCCTGCTAGTTTGGCGCGACCGACGCGGCCGCGGCGGCGCTGACCGCTGGGCACTTCCCAGCGGACAGTTCAGCACGAGTCGGCGACATGACATGGGCGGGCGCGGTAGCATGGCGACGTCGACAACGGTAGACACGAGGATGGTAGTAGCGGTGTTGGTGACGAGGACGACAACGACAACGGCAAAGTCAACAACGGCGCCGACGTTGATCATGTCGACGATGATGACGGCATTTTCGCGCCGGCAATTCAACTGTTGCGACATGCGCGCGTCGCCGACGCGTGAAATTCGCTCCTCAGTACGCGCGCAGGCACGTTCGGAGGATTTAGACATTCGGCGCGGGAGGCCCGTTTGGCAGGACGCGGTGAAGAGGTGAGAAGCCGGTGGTTTTCCGAACGAGGCACAGAAACTCGAGCGCAGGTTGTTTTTGTTGAAAACTGCCGTTGCACAAACATGGTTTTCTATGTTTCTGGGGCAGCCGATTCTGAAATCTTTACGAAACGTAAGGCTGTTGAAGGAGGTCGACGTAAGCGCTCGATGGCGCGCGCGTGTGCACTTCGCCCTTTTATTGTGCCACGGATTCTTGCGACAGCACGCGCGCGCAAGGGCGCTCCAATGATTTAGGAGTGCGCGCTAGAGGCCCTTTTTTTAGTAGGTTTGTGAACAGTTTGGAGACAACAACCTATCGTTTTGTTAAAGTGCGAAAAAGTTCGGGCGCAAGTTTGTTTTGACAGTCAGTGTTGCGAAACCCGTTGTTTTTTGTATGCTTTCGGGGCGCTCGGTTTTCAAGTGTTTACGGAACCCAGGGCTTCAGACAGATTTCGGCATGCGCGCGACATCGCGCGCGTGCGCACGTCGTCCCACTGGTTGCACGGGGCGATTGGACGTTGATGATCCTTTATCAGAGCCCCGAATCATCAGAGGTAACTCGGGTCAGGGCTAACTCGGGTTCGCTTTTCGGGATTCCGAACCCGAGTTACCCCAGGCCCGAGTTACCCCGGATAATTCGGGCGTCCAGAGCCCCAAAATCATCAGGGGTAACTCGGGTCAGGGCTAACTCGGGTTCGTTTTACGGGAATCCAAACCCGAGTTACCCCGGACCCGAGTTACCCCGGATCACTCGGGCGCCCAACTTTACCAACTACAGCGCGCGCGTCCTTCTCTGTTGCAGAGAATGCGGAGGGGGCGTGACCAGCCTGCCGGGGATGGTGCGAGCTCATATTCCAGGTGGGCGACGAGGACCAGGAGAAGGAGGACTGGGAGGAGGAGGAGGAGGAGGAGGAGGAGGAGGAGGAGGAGGAGAAGGAAGAGGAGGACGAGGACGATTAGGACTATGGCGAAGATGAAGACGAGGAGCACGAGGTGTTTCTTGGCCTCCAGCTCATATAGCTTGCACGTAAACAGTTCACGGATATAGCCAGGACCCCAGGTAAGGGGACGTGGTCAGTGGTAGGGTCCGGGGGCCCCGAAGTTGGCCAGAATCCCGAAACCGGGCTTGCCGTAAGTGGCGTTTGTCGGGTGACGGCAGTTCCGGTTCGTGGAAATGGGACGGGGGGGCGCCCCCCGGTACACATCACTAAACCAGGTTCCACTAAACCCAGTTTTGCCAACGCCCGAAATTACAGGGGTGAAAAACGGTGTAGCATACATGTTTCCGCCATCGGGGACGCCTGCCCCGGGCGGCTGGAAAGTTCATACTTTACGTGGCACCGTAAGGGTATAGACGTTCCAGCCGCCCAGGGGTCAGGCGTCCCTGAAAAAAAGGACCTCTCATTCCGGGGGCGAGACACGGCCCCGAACGGGCCCAAGAGGTGCACGAGAGAGGCGCACGACGACCCCCTCCCCTCGCAGCGCGTTCCATTTTGCCTGACACGGGCACCGGAGGTGCTCCGAGGTCCGGCATCCCTCCCCCCTCGCCTCGTCCGCCGCCGCCGCCTCCTCCCCGCTCTCTCGGCGGCGAGCAGTGGGGGGAAACGAAAGAGAAGGAGGCGTTCCTTGAAGAAGAAGCAGCGCTGTAACACACTAACTCTGGGCGCTCCGCGCGGGTGTCTTCGGTCCGCGCCGGGGTCCCCTCTTGCGGCGTCTCCGACGCCCCTCCTGGCGCGCGGAGCGCGCCAGGGATGGGGAGGCCCAGCGTGGATCCAAGAATCCGCGCGGAGCGCCACAAGTTTATGCTTATGTTTTTTCCCTCTATTCTGAAGTCGGGCCTGTCCCTCAACAGGGGGAATATTCAAAAATAGTCAGAGAATAGTGTGGGGACTATCTCTTGCAGCATTTGTCTTACCATTTGGGAGCATCTTTTGCGGGCATGTGTTTTTTTTTTTGTTCGTCGAAGCTCCCCCTGTATGGGGGACACGCCCGACTTAACTCTATTCTCAGAAGGCGGCGGGACTTCTCAGGAGCCCTCGCGCCTTCTGATCGGCTGCCTGTGCCTCCGGAGGCCTCGAGAGCTTCTCGGGCTCGCCGCCGAAGACCGCCACCGCGGGCCCAAGAGGGGCACGAGGGGCGCACCTTCCCCAACTTCCCTCCCCTGCGCTGAAAAGTCGGGCCTCTGCCCCTCTGTAGGGGGAATCTTCAAAGATAGTCAAAATATAGTTCGGGGGCAATTTTTTTGAAGCTTTCTGACAATGTTTGAACATTGCTTGCCTACGTTTGATTTTTCTTCCAAAATCCTCCTGTAGGAGGACATGCCCGACCAAACCCTGCGCGTCGAGTACTGCCTGACCCCGTTCACGGGCACTGGAGGTACGCCGAAGTCCGGCATCCCTTTCCCCCCTCTTATCGAATGCAGCTCCTTGGGGGTAGAGAGTTCTGACTTTGCCCTGGTCCGAAATCCAGTTCCGATCGACTGAATCCCGCTGAATCCCGCTCAGGCTGGCTCACTCCAGCCGAATCCCGCAGAGTCCGCGGCCGAATCCAGCGCAGCAGCCCCCCAATGAGCTTCAATATCCTCTTTGAACTCTGCCGAGGAACACCTCCCAGTAGTTGCCTCCCAACCCCTCGCCTCGTCCTCTCCCGCCGCCTTCCCCCCCTCCGTCACGCCGTTCTCCTCGAGAGGGGTCCCAGATCGGACGGAGGAGAAGCGACACCAACACCAAGGGGTCCACCTTCGGTGAGGAGGTCCACGAGGCCTCCCCGAGCGCTGCAGGCTGGGGACGCCTCGAGCGAGAGGGGAGGACCTCACCATCAGGGAGACCCCCCCTGGCGCCCCGCACCTCTTCGCCCTGGTGGTGTTGGTGTCGCCGTTCCTTTTTGTTCCTGCCCGGGGTAAAACAGAGCTATAGGATCGGGATAAATCGCTCCAGAGCGTTCCGGAGCGCTCTCAGATCGTTCCGGAACGCTCTGGAGCGGCCGCGGCGCCCAACACATGCTCCAAACCCGCCGATTCTCAGAGATTTCGAGTTATCCCGATCCGATTTTGCCCCGATCTTCGCGCCGTTTTACGGAGGGCCCGCCCGCCCGAGGTGGTCAGGGAGCTCGACGGCCCCACGGCCGAGGAGGAGGCCCTGCGGAACGGGAACGGGCGGGCCGCCGCCGAGGCGGCCCACGCGGGCGCGCGGGCGCCGCCTCGGGCCTCTCCGGCCCGGGGGGGCGGGGGAGGGGGGAGGACGTGTTCCAGGGGCCCCGAAACGGAGTGGTGACCACTCCTCCTCCTCCTCCTCCTCCTCCTCCTCCTCCTCCTCCTCCTCCTCCTCCTCCTCCTCCTCCTCCTCCTCCTCCTCCTCCTCCTCCTCCTCCTCCTCCTCCTCCTCCTCCTCCTCCTCCTCCTCCTCCCTCTCTTCCTCCTCCCCTTCCTCCTCCTCCTACTCCTCCTCCTCCTCCACCCGAGATCGGGGGCACAGTCCCCCCTCGGTCGAGCTGGACCCCTTGGGTCCCGGCGCCGGTGCCGATACGCGTATAGCAAAGATGATCGACTTCCCAAGGGTCGGGGGCCCCCAAACGGGGCAGTGACCACACTGTGTGGTGAGTCGGTGGGGATGCGGGGTCGCCGCACGGTTTCGGGACTCGGGTCGTTCTCCGAGGGCGTGTCGGGCGACAGGGTCTTTCTCCAGGGTCCCAAGACCGTTCGGTAACGGACCGTGCGGTGAGGTCTCTTGGGGTTCCGAGGTCACCGCACGGTCTGCCACCGCACCGCTTCGGGACTCCAAAGTGTTCGGGGATGGATCGGCATCCTCGTCGCGAGGACCCGACCTCATGGACTGACCAAGGTAATGGCATGGGATTGACCAAGGTGAGGGCCATGCGTGCGGGCAATTTTTATATCCATCTCCAGTGCGTCTTGGACTTTTTTGGAAGGGGCGTCGCAAGGCCGAGGCGCACTGGATATGGATAAAATCGAGCCTTTTGGAGGCAGAGTATAATCCATATCCAGTGCGCTTCGTGCTTCTTGGGAAGAGAGTCCGAAACTCCAAGGCGCACTGGATGTGGATATAGACATTGCCCGCAATGAGCATAAACTCTTGGCGCTCCGCGCGGGTTTCTTGGGTCCGCGCTGGGCCTCCCCCGGCGGCGCCTCTGGCGCCGCCCTGGGCGCGCTCCGCGCGCCTGGGAGGGGGGGCCAGCGCAGGTCCAAGAAGTCCGCGCTGAGCGCCAAAAGCTCATGTTTACGTTTCTTCTCTTTCTTGATAGGGATCTGTTGGATGAGGCATCCAGGGTTATGCCGGGCCTGTCCCCCTACAGGGGGATTTTCGACGAAAAATAAGAAATTAGCCTGACGAAGGACCCAACCATGTGCAGGTGTGAATACCGCAGTTGACACTACCAATTTCGGTGGGGCTCCCTATAGGGCCAAGAAACGTGTGAAGGGGATGGGTGTGCGGGACGCATGCGGGGGGCAGCACTGGGGCTTTCGGTGGAGCTCCCTATGGGGCCACGAAACGTGTGAGGGAGTTGACGAAATGGGTGTGGCTGACGCATGCGGGCGCGGGCACTGGGGCCTTCGGTGGAGCTCCCTATGGGACCACGAAACGTTTGAGGGGTGTGCCGAAATGGGTGTGGCTGGCGCTTGCGGGCGCGGGCACTGGGGCCTTCGGTGGAGCTCCCTATGGGGCCACGAAACGTGTGAGGGGTGTGCCGAAATCTGCGCGGTGGGCGCATGGGAGCGCAGCCACTGGGGCCTTCGCTGGAGCCCCCTATGGGGCCACGAAGCGTATGAGGGGTGTGCCGAAATGGGTGCGGTGGGCGCATGGGAGCGCAGCCACTGGGGCCTTCGCTGGAGCTCCATATGGGGCCACGAAACGTGTGAGGGGTGTGCCGAAATGGGTGCGGTGGGCGCATGGGAGCGCAGCCACTGGGGCCTTCGCTGGAGCTCCCCATGGGGCCACGAAACGTGCGAGGGGTGTGCCGAAACTGGTGTGGCTGACGCTTGCGGGCGCGGGCACTGGGGCCTTCGGTGGAGCTCCCTATGGGGCCACGAAACGTGTGAGGGGTGTGCCGAAATGAGTGTGGGTGACGCATGTGGGCGTGGGCACTGGGGCCTTCGGTGGAGCTCCCTATGGGGCCACGAACCGTGTGAGGGGTGTGCCGAAATCTGTGCGGTGGGCGCATGGGAGCGCAGCCACTGGGGCCTTCGCTGGAGCTCCCTATGGGGCCACGAAACGTGTGAGGGGTGTGCCGAAATGGGTGCGGTGGGCGCATGGGAGCGCAGCCACTGGGGCCTTCGCTGGAGCTCCCCATGGGACCACGAAGCGTGTGATGGGTGTGCCGAAATGGGTGCGGTGGGCGCATGGGAGCGCAGCCACTGGGGCCTTCGCTGGAGCTCCCTATGGGGCCACGAAGCGTGTGAGGGGTGTGCAGAAATGGGTGCGGTGGGCGCATGGGAGCGCAGCCACTGGGGCCTTCGCTGGAGCTCCCTATGGGGCCACGAAACGTGTGAGGGGTGTGCCGAAATCTGTGCGGTGGGCGCATGGGAGCGCAGCCACTGGGGCCTTCGCTGGAGCTCCCTATGGGGCCACGAAACGTATGAGGGGTGTGCCGAAATGGGTGCGGTGGGCGCATGGGAGCGCGGCCACTGGGGCCTTCGCTGCAGCTCCCTATGGGGCCACGAAGCGTGTGAGGGGTGTGCCGAAATGGGTGCGGTGGGCGCATGGGAGCGCAGCCACTGGTGCCTTCGGTGGAGCTCCCTATGGGGCCACGAAACGTGTGAGGGGTGTGCCGCAGTGGGTGTGGCTGACGCATGCGGGCGGTGGCACTGAGGCCTTCGGTGGAGATCCCTATGGGGCCGCCAAACGTGTGACGGGTGATGATGGCGATGATGATGATGGTGGTGATGATGATGGTGGTGATGATGATGTCGATGATGGTGATACCGAAACGGTTGCACACGTTTCGTGGCCCCATGATGATGATGACGATGATGATTGTGATAATGACGATGAAGTTTGATGATGATGATGGTGATGATGATGATGATGGCAGGAGGGAGGGGGCAGCGGGAGGAGGAGTGAACGCGGGGCGCTGTCTCTTCAAAACGAGGACCCAACACCACAGGATGGTTGGGAAATATGCAAGACAAAAACAACAAATACTAAAAAGATAGCCTGGGGGGTATTTTTGGGGTATTTGTTTTGTCTTTTTGGAATATTTTGGGGGTATTTTTTCCCGTCGAAAGTCCCCACGTAGGGGGACACGCCCGACATAAATCCAGGGCCTGAGAGCTGGATGAACACCGATGGAGGCCTGACCATGGATGTCACAGCCGCCCAGAGGCGGCGCCCTCGTCTCGCAGTGTAACACGCTCCTGGCGTGCGGTGGGTCGTATTGCTCCATGCTCCTTTCGTGGGGCCCGCGGTGGACAGAGCAACGAGTGGATCGGCAGCGGGATCGTCGCGCCTTCCCCTTTGGCCGCCTCCCTCTCTCCAAACGATGCGCGCTGAAAGCAAACAGAACGGCGAGGGCAGCGAAGAAGGAACCCCTGGATAAGACATACAGGGCCTCACCGCCGGTGAAACACCAACCCAGACCTGACCATGGATGTCACTGCCGCCCTCATCAGGTAAGGGATCCTCCCGCGCCTGTATCCTTTTGGGCACATTCCTCCCCGAGTGCCCCCACCATGGGTCGCCCCGCGGAGGCGCGAAGGTGATCGTGGCTCCGAGCGTGGCACTTCGCCAAGTCCGCGCGCGAGGGGGGGAGCGATCGGGGATGGCACCCCAGGCCTCGCAGAATGGGGCGCGCCGCATCGCCGATGCATCGGGTACGCGGCTCGATGTGAGGCCCACTGTTCACCACGTCGACGTCGCAGATGCATCGCCGACGTCCACGATGCATCGCCGAAACATCGGCGATGCATTGGCGTCGCCGTGCCATCCTCCGTCCCAGGGCCAGCCAAGAGGCCGGGTGAGGATTTTAAGGCGGGGTATAACATGGCAGGGGGCATGATAGCTGCCCGCATTTCGTGACCCCTCTTGTTGCCTCGAATGCGCCCCTTGGCCCACCTGTTGGGCCGCCTGCGTTCCTCGGGACAGGATGAGCGAACCCCCCTTTCGAGCGCCCCGCCCAATTCTTGGACGCTCCCGAGATGACAATGGCGTCCTCGCCCGGAGGGAGCTCAAGAGCATGGGGATTCAGGCGCGTGGCCCGAGGCCTCCCAGATGGGGCCGGAGTGGACGGGGCCGGAGGATCGCGCCGCATCGCCCTTGCATCGACGATGCGGCTCGATGCGGAGCTCGATGCTCCTCACGCCGGCGTCGCCGATGCACCGCCCACGTCGGCGATGCACCACCAGTCCATCACCGAGGCAGCGCCCCAAACCCAGGAGGCCTCCGGTGGAGCAGCGACGGGCCCCTCTTCCGTGCAGGGTCGGGCGGCGGTGGCTGTGCGGTGCGGGGGAGGTCTCCTCCGAGCCATACTGGCGCGTGCCCGAGTCACATTCGGTGGGGGGGGGGGGGGCAGGGTCGAGCCCTGCCTTGGAGAGGCGTCCACGCGGTCAGTCGCAGGGCCAAATGCTGGCCAAACTCTCGGACTGCGTGTTTTCCCCGCACCCGTTGTGGAGCCCATTGGGGGGAACACCTGGGAAAGATAGACAGCTGAGGAGGAGGAGGAGGAAGAGGAGGTGGAGGAAGAGGAGGAGGAGGAGTAGGAGGAGGAAGAGTTGGAGGAGGGAGGAGATAGCGGATAGCGGTAATCTTGGGAGGTGCGAGGATAGTTGGTCCACAGCAGTGGCTTTCTCACCCACCTCCCTCCGACGCACCACATACACTTACGGCGGCCACACCTACCACGGGCTATGCTATGCAGTGCGTCCACGGTCTGTCAGGGCTCCCAAACCCGCCGTGGCTTTCCCACCCACGTGTGTTACTCACCCGACGCGCTGCGAGAGCGCAAGCCACACCTGTCCCCGTGGGTGGAACAGCCTACCTCCTTGGTGGGGGCTTTAATTACGAGCTGGGGGCCTCGGATGGAGCTAAACGAAAAGCTACTCTTCCCCGGGTCCTGAGGGGTCCACTCTCATCCTTCACGTCGCTCCCTTCCTGCTCACCTCCACCTGCAGCCCCGCCCCCCCCCGCTTGCATTCACTGCCCTACGCATTCCCCCTCATGTGGCGGCGGAGTGGGTGGGGGGCCACCCGGCAAGGGATCACGCCGAGCCATCAAGACGAGGACGACTGGTGGTGCGGAGAACAAGGGGAAGCACGCCGATGACCATCTTGGCAAGGGCCAGGGCGGCCGCGGCACACAGCCCCCGGGGTCCATCCCGGCATGACTTTTCGAGGCGGAGCCGGCGGCGGGGACGACGGAGGCCCAGTGCACGAGGAACGACGCCAGCGGGGCGTCTCGACTGCTCCCCCCGCTGGCTTCTGAGCGGGGGCCACTCGAGGCGCTCCAGAGAGGGCCTCGCCTTCGAGGGCCCAAAGAGTTGGCATCTCTGCCTCGGCGGAGGGCGGGGCAGGCCGGCGGAAGCAGTTCCGCACGAGGCCGCCCCTGCGGGCGGAAGCCGTCGGAAGGGCGGCGGGAGGCGGCGGAAGCAAGGCGCGCGTCCCCCAGGGACGAGCAAGACGCTTTTTTGGGGCTCAGGGCTCTCGGGGTCGGTCGGCGTTACTCGCTGCGTGTGGCCGCGGCGTCGATGGCCACGACGGCCACGGGCGCCGTCGCGCCTCCCGACGGCGGCGGCCCGGGAGCAGGTGGCGGGGTGCGCCGAGCCCGAGGGGGCCGCCGGCGCGGCGCCGGGGGCGGCGGCGGAGGCCGCGCTGCCGCGCCGCCGTTTTTTTCCTCTTCTCGCGTTGGCGCTAGGGCTCCCAGAGTCAGGAGGGAAGGAAGCACACAGGCCCAACAGATCGTCGACTCCCAGGAAAAAAAGTGGGAAGATATGGGGAGGGTTAAGTCGGGCGTGCCCCCCTACAGGGGAATTTTCGCTGAAAGACAGAAAATTTACAGAATATTCCAGAATGGCCAAGAAATAATCCAAAAATAGTCCCCAGACTATTTTTCGACCATTTTTTGATTATTTTTGGGGTACTTTTTATTTTTCGTCGAAAATCCCCTTATAGGGGGACAGGCCCGCCTTAAGGGAAGGGGGGGAAAATACGAAAACCCAGAAAATACGGGAAGTGATGGGGAATATCATGTTACTCGTCTGTATTTATTTGTGTGTCCCTGGGCCCCTTCACAGATGGGGTCGGAGTAAATGGGGTCGGAGGATCGCGCCGCATCGCCGATGCGTCGGCGAAGCGGCTCGATGCGGAGCCCGAGCATCCCCACGCCGACGTCGCCGATGCATCGCCGACGTCGCCGATAGCATCGCCGGTGCATCGCCGAGGTATCGGCTAATGCGGCGGGATCTTCCGACACCATCTTTTTGGACCCCAGCTGGGATGCCTCTAGGCCTCTGGTCTCCCCCCTCGCCGTGGCATCGCTCGGACGGGTGCATCTTTTCGGCGACGACCATCGAGGAGCGTCTTGGATCATCTGGCAAGAGGAGCGCGCACGAGACCGAAAAAGGGGCACGAAGAGCGGACGTCCGAGCGCTGGCCAGTCGCCCCCCGACGCTTTTTCTCCGCCCCGTCGACAGGCCGAGGTCCGATAGCCGAAAAAGAAGAAGCATCGGCATTTGGCGAGCTCCGCGCGGACCTCCAAAAGTTTGTGTGCTATGCAGTTCGTTTTCTTCCTCGATGTCGACAAGCCGACAAGCCGAGGCCCCATAATTATCTCGCATGCCGCCTCGGCGCTGCGAGGGCGAAGGTGCCAGCCTCGCCAGCGTCTTAGCCCTCGTCCTCCTCGTCCCTCGCTGATCGGTCGCAGCTCTGGGCTTCGAAGTCGTCGTCCTCTTCCTCATCGCCGTTCTCTTCCTCGTCGTCGTTCCTCTTCGCTACTCGACGTACCCTTCGTTATACGTCGTCGTTCCTCGTCGACGTTCCCCGTCTTCGTTCCTCGTGCTGGTCGCTCCTCGTGCTTGTCGTTCCTCGTGCTCGTCGTTTCTCGTCGGGCCCCGTCGCGGCGAGCGAGGGGGGGGGGAAGTGAGGAGGAGAATCAGGAGGGGAAAAAACACACAGACACAATAAATCGTCGATCCCCGGGAAAACATGGGAAAATATGGGAAGTGGGGGGGAAGACAGAAACCCAGAAAATATAGGAAAATATGGGACATCTTTTTATTTGTGTGTATTTATTTGTGTGTCCCAGTTTCCCTTCAGAGAAGGCCATCGCAGAAGGCGGCGGGACTTCTCAGGAGCCCTCGCGCCTTCCGAGAGGTCTTCTGTGCTTCCGGGGACGGCTTTAGGACCTCCCTGACTCCGGATCCGCCCTATTTCGGCTTTTTCCAACTTAAAATTGCGTCGGAAATCCACCTATAAGAGGCCGAACAAGTAGGGCGGAAATTGCTGCACCCAACATAAAAATAGGGCGGAAATCCACAGAAACAGCAACAGAAAAGTAGGGCGGAAATTGGCATCAGCGGGGCTTGAAAAGTAAGGCGGAAATTCCAAGCCCTACTTACGAATTTCCCCAAAGTAGGGCGGATCCGGAGTCAGGGCTCAGGAATCTTCTCGGGAGGCCGGGAACCTCTCTGAGCCTTCTGGGAGAAGGCCCGCCCCTTCTCGCCTCCCCATCCCGGCTCGCCGCCGACGCTCCTCGGCCTCGGGCGCAGGGGCCCTCGGAGGAGTGGACAGATCTGGGGCGCTGCCCTGCAAGAGGACCTCGGGGCGCCAGAGATCACCAGCCTCGACTTTATCCCTATCCCTAGGATTGACACGCCAAGCTTCGATGACAATCTTGGGGGTGCGCCCCGAAAAACTAAAGGAACCCCTGAGATTGGCATTATGATGAGGCGATGCCCAGCTTAGGGCTAGGGCCTAGGGATATGTTCCAGGCTGGTGGAGAGACGGGGGCACGGCAAACGGGGGCGGCGCGGGGAGCGCCGAGCTCCACGTGTGGCGATGCCAGCGTCGTTGAGGTGGCCACTGGTGCCGTACGCGGTGGGCTCGCGGCGTGCCCACGGTCGGCGACCCCGCCGCGGGCCTTCAGGGTTGAACGCCGCCAGTGGCGCGGAATCGGCGTGCGTGGAACGATCGGGCGATCGGAAGGCCGCCGCTCGCTCGAGGCTGAACGATACGTTTTTAGTCAGCGGCCGCGGGCGAGCGCGCCGGCGGCGAGTCAGGTCAAAGCGGGCTACGCAGAGACTAATCAGGCAGAGGAAACGCGAGGAAATTGAAGCAGAGGCAACGCCCGCGGCAACAGCTATGCGCCGGCCGAGGCCTCACGCAGTGGCCCAACGGCAGGTAAGGCTGAACGATACACGCGGTGTCAGAATTCAACGCCGGGGTCGTCACGACAGGAACCTGCCGTGGACGGGGGGCGCAGTAAACGGGGGCATGTGGAGGAGTTTAAGCCCCCCGTTTGGCCGAGCATCTGTTGATGCGAGGCCCCGAGGAGCGGCGGCGGCGAGGCGGTGCCAAGACGGTACCCTCGTGGGGAGACGATGCCCCGATACAGTCAACACGCACAGTAGAGATGGCCAACCTTCTCAAGGGTACCCTTGCATCCGTGCCTCCTCGGTCCATCCTTGGCCACTTTTGTTGGCCGTGCCCCGCTCGAGAAGCTTCGAAATGGCGTCCAAGGCCCTTGCAGGATCACCGCGCATCCTTGTGATACTGGCTGACTGCACCCCGATCCAGGATTCGGCACGAACGAGATGGGTACGGAGAGGATAGGTGCGAAGACTGACAGCAGCCCCTGCCTTTTTTGGGGAAGGACGGTGCCCTCGTGAGGAGAGGATCCCCCGATCCAGGACTCGGCCCGAACGAGATGGATACAGAGAGGATGTGTGCGAAGACCGATGGCAGCCTCTGTTCATTTTGAACGGGGCTCGCTGTCGGCACCGCCGCGGACGTTGTCCATTTGAGACAGACGGCCGCCTGCCCAACAGCGTCCGCTGCCAGTGTTGGACAGCAGGTGTTGTGGAGCATCGTGCCCATTCTTGTCCGTACCCGTCCCGGGCGTTCAACATCCAGGACGCTTCGCCGACGTTTCGCCCCCGATTCACGCTGTTCCTCCCATAACTGGCCGCCTCCTGGACCCCCGCCGAAAAGTCGTCCAGAGTGGGGGGCTCAGGATCAGAGCAGTTCTCGGCGTGCCCTACCGATCCTGACTGTGGTCCCCTCGCTGCTCCTGGCCTCCAGTCCGCGTCCGTCTCGTCCTCCCGGCCGTCTCCTCCTGGTCCTCTGCTCCTCCTGCTCGTCGTCCTCCTCCTCTGCTCGTCTTCGTGATTCTCGCCCCTCTCCCATTCCTGTTCCTGTTGCCCCGCCGTGCGAATCCGTCGCCTCCTCCTCCTCGCTCGCCTGCTGGCTGCCGCTGCCCCTGGAGCCCCGCCCCGCGCGATAGAGGCCAAAGACGAGGCCCCCGACGCTGGCAAGGAGGCGCCCAAGGAGGCGCCGAAAGAGGAGGCGAAGGAGGAGGCCAAAGAGGAGGCTGGCGAGGACCACCTTTCGGGCCGGACGAAAGGGGGGGATTGGGAAAGGGGGGGGTACGAAACTTGCTGCATGCAGCTAGTTTCGGCCCCACCGAGGGGCCCATTCCTCGATACATGGGCGCCTCCGGCGCCGGGAGGCGCCGGGAAAACCAGCTACGTGAGCTGATTCTCAAGCCCACCCTTTGCTCTCCCCCCCTTTCGCCCGACCCGAACCTTTGCTGCGACTGATCGGGCGTTGCCAGGGGTGATCTTGGCTCTAGGCAACCCTAGGGTTTCCAGAGGCCCAGATGGCTGTCCCAGAACCGCCCTGCGCCGGCCTCATGCAAGCTGCCACTGGCAACGCCCGTGGGGCTGCCTGGGGGGAGCATTGGGCGGCCTCATTGGGCGTATTGCGGCCTGGGTGAAACATGTGTAACATGCAGAACACATGAGCACACCTAAGATGTCGGAATATTGTTGGCCTCTGGAAGGAACCCGTAAGGACTCACGGGCATACATCTACGGTTTTTGGGACGTTCTCGAGGGTTGATTGGTCCCTCCTGGCGTCTCCTGTTGAGGCTGTCTTGGTGGGCGTGTCTTCCTGCCCGGCGTGACGCTCGTTACCCGCCCCCCCGGGTAACGCTGACGATCGTATTGGGCGGGGAGGCCTGGACCTCCCCTCCCCCTGCATGCTGGGGGGCACAGGCATGGCGCGGTGATCAAAGGCATGCTCTGCGTGGCGAGAGCCTGTGGCGCGCGACCGCATCGGTCGCTGTGAGACAGGGTTAGGTCGGGCCTGTCCCCCCTACAGGGGGATTATCGACGGAAAAACAAGATACCCCCCAAAAGCATCCAAAAATAGTCCAAAAATAGTCCGAGGATTAATTTTCCGCATTTTTTACCTTTTTGGTGTGTGTTTTGGGGTCTTTCTAATTTTTCGTCTAACATCCTCCTGTAGGGGGACACGCCCGACTTCAAGATAGGGGGTTCTGAGGGACAGGGGCTTTGAATGTATGTTGAATTGTCGGATTGTTGTGTGCCCGGTTGTTCCGGCGGGTCCTTGGACCGTCAGAAAACCGTTGTTGCTGACGAGCGGGCCTTGCTGGCGCCCCTGGGCCCCCTATGGCGCCTGCAATCCGAAGCGTCATCGGTCCAGGGCCCGTTTCCCTCGTGGCTTGCTTGCTTCATGTTGAAGCGTTCCTTTAACAGCTTGGTTGCAGGAGCACGTTGGCGCACGTGGGCCCCACACAGTTCTTCGTTTTACTCGACGCGCATGGCGCGCGATGCAACCTGTGGGCCGCATGTACGTGTGGCTTGTATGTATGTATGTTTGTATGTACCAGCATGGAATGACATGTAGTGTAATGTATGTATGTAGTGGAATGTAGCGGAATGGAATGTGCGCATGTATGTATACAATTCGTTGTAATGTATGTATGAATGTACGAATGTATGTGATGTAGTGTAACGCATATACGACATGTAACGCAATGGCGTAGATTGTTGCTGTATGCGCATGTGCGTATTTGCGTTTATGTGTATGTATGCATGTCTGCCTGCTCATAGTTACGTATGTAGTGCAATGGAATGTAGATGTGCTTGCATTGTAATCTAAGGCACTGCCAGATACCGTATGCGTATGTATGTAATGTCGTGCGATGTAATGTATTGCGTGTGCGTATGTAACCTCGTAGTTTTAATGCAATGTGTTTATGCGTGTATGGAATGTAACGTAATGTCATGTACTACAGTGTATGCGGGTAGTGTGAAGTTAGGCAGTCCTATGTAACCCTGTATGCATTGCGAAATGTGGAATCCTGTATGTATGTATGGTTGCACGTGTGCATGTAATGTGAAGCATCGTAATTTAAGTGTGTATGTATGTAATGTATGTATGGACGTGCGTATATACGTATGTAGTGTAGTATAATGGATTTGGGTGGATTGGATTGGAATTGGATGACATGGAATGGACTGTATGTAACGTGATGCCCTGTAGTTTATCGTAATGGAATGTGTGTGAATATGCACAATAAGGCAAAGTATGAATGTCAGGATTTTGTGTAATGTATCTATGCATGCAATGGAACGCAATGCAATGTAGTATCATGTGTTGCGCGTGTGTGTTGTGCAACGTTCTGTAACTTAATGATGTACGCATGTATGTACGGAGTGTGATGCCATGTGATGTAATGTACTGTGTTTGTGTGTACGTATGCAGTGGCCTGTACACCAGTGTGATATAATGCAGTGTACGTATGTATTGCAATGCGCTGCGCTGTATTTGAAAGTCGTACAATGTAATGTATACCATGCATGTTTGCAATGCAATGGAATACAGGTATGTACTGAAATGGAATGGCATGGCATGGAATAGTATTTCGTGTAAAGGTTGTAACATGTGTATGTAATGTCTGTGAGCATGTAAGAATGTATGTGTATATGTATGTATGCACATGAGCGTAGTGTAATTCAATGTATGTGTGCTTGTTTGTATGTGTGTATGTAATGTATTGCATGTATGTATGCATATAATGCAACACACTGCAATGTAATGCAATGCGATGAGGTGTTGATGCGATGTAATGAGTACTTGTACGTCGTGCAATGGAAGGGAGTTGAATGACACGGAGTGAAAAGTAATGTACGTATGTTTGCATGTATGCAATGTGTGTATGTTTGTGTGGGCTTCCATGTTCAAGTCTCCCGAAGACCTCGGCCCCTGCGCAGGACAGCCAGGCCGCTGGCGCGGCCGCCCCGCCGGAGGACGCGCCCGCCGGCGCGGCCAGCCCGGCGGGCGCGAGGAGGATTGTGCGCGAGGAGCCGCGTGTGGGGGAGGATTTTCCTTTGGGAGGCCAGGGGCCAGTTGAGGAGCAGCCCAGAGGATCCTCCCTCTCCTCTTCTTCCTCCTGGTTCCTGGTTCCTGGTAGCTGGAGAAGAACGTGGTTCGTTGCCTCCCTTCAAGCTGGGTAGGCCGTGTCTCCGTAGACTTATCCCGTCTGGAATTGCATACTTGGACCGAATATCAATATGGTTGTGGCCTACGGCCCTCAGCCAGGCCGAGTTTGCATCCAGACGTCCGAAGGCGTAATGTTCATGCATGTTTAAGGTTAGTCGTGCGCATTGACTCTGTCATATGATCATGTTCATGCTCATGCTCCTCCTCCTCCTCGTTCTCCTCCTCGTCCTTCTTATCCATTCCTTGTTTCTCATAGATCACACCTCCCTGTCACACCCCGAGGCCAGTCGAAAGGGCTGGCCGGGTGTTTCGCCCTAGACATCCTCACCATTTATGGGTTTGGAGCCAAAACATTGGCAACCCAGGCGGAGGGCGGGCGGTCTTCAACATGTGCCTCTCGCCGTCTCGCCGCGCATACTCGTTTTAACAGATTTCAAGAGCTTCATGCATGGGGGGCGGCTCGATTTCAGACTGTTGTTCTCGCCTTCGCGCCAGGCACAGTCGTTTCGAAGAGTTGCCAGAGTGAAGGCGCGTCGCATTGAAACTGTGATTCTCGCTTTCGCGCAGCGCACAGTCGTTGTAAAACGACGCAAGAGCTTCACATATTGAGGGCGGGAGGTTTTCAAGTTTTGGCTCTCGCCTTCTCGCTGGCCCCATTCGTTGTCAGCATTTGCAGCAGAGCTTCATGGATGGAGGACGGCTCGTACTCCTAATGTGATCTTCGCGTTCACGCCGCGCACGATCGATGTTTGTTTCTGTTCATATACATATATCTATATAACAGTTGCAAGGGTTCACGGATTCCGTTGGTCAACGTATTAGAAATGGCGCTTTTGAACAACAACAGATTGTGAGGGTTGAACAATTACGTTGATTCGCGGTACGGTGTTCTGGCACGTTTCAGGACCGTTCAGACGCAACAGTCAGGTTGTTCCGTGGCGTTGGAGACCCGAGGACGGTGTTTTAGCTTGCTTGAGGGTCTTCAAACGATTGCCTCCCAAGGAGGCAGGTCTTTCAGTGGAAATGAACCCTTGTAGGGGTCTGTGGAGAGGGGGCTTGGAAGGAGGGTTTCTGCAAACATCTTTGATGAGTCTTGGGTTTGCACTCCTCCTCCTCCTCCTCCTCCTCCTCCTCCGCGCCCACGCCCGCGCCCGCGCCCGCGCCACCCACACCAACGCCCACGCCCACGCCCACGCCCACGCCCACGCCCACGCCCACGCCGAGGAGGAGGAAGAGGAGGAGGAGGAGGAGGAGGAGGAGGAGGAGGAGGAGGAGGAGGAGGAGGAGGATATAGAGGACGAGGAGGGAGGAAAAGGACCAAGAGGAGGAGGAGGAGGAGGAGGAGGAGGACGAGGAGGAGGAGGACGAGGAGGAAGAGGAGGAGGAATTGGAGGAGCCCCACTCCCGTGCGCAAGCAGCCGCGCGGAAAGGGGGGAGGAGCAGAAGCAAGAGCTCAGGGGAGGAGGAGGAGGAGGAGGAGGAGAAGGAGGAGGAGGAGGAGGAGGATGAAGATCACGAAGAGGAGGAGGAGGAGGAGGAGGAGGAGGAGGAGGAGGAGGAGGAGCTCGGAGGAGGAGGAGGTGAAGCCCTATCCCCGGGCGCGAGGCGGCGCGCGGTGGGGGCTCTCGTCGGGGAGGCCAGGAGCCAGGAGCGAGGAGGTGCACCTTCGGGCGTACCACCGCCCAGGGTTCGGTCCCCCAACGATGGGTTCTTGGTGGCGATGGTCCATGTTTCTCCGAGTCGAGGGGGCCTTGAGCCAGGAGCCCTCAGCGAGGAGGAGGAGGAGGAGAAGAAGGAGGAGTAGAAGGAGGAGGAGGAGGAGGAGGAGGATACGGCACCGATGCCGTCTGCCCTTGTCCTGTTCTCACCCTTTCTGAGCCTTCTCGGAGGTCCTCGTCGCCACGGCTGGATTCGCCTCGACACCTTTGTCAGAGCGCACCTTTGGAGAGTCCAGGGAGTGCCAGCATCGGTACCTTCAGGAGTAAGGAGGAAGGGGAGGAGGAGGAGGAGGAGGAGGAGGAGGAGGAGGAGGAGGAGGAGGAGGAGCAGGAGCTCCACTCTCCCCCATATTGTTGTCTTCTCTCGTGCCCGACGCGGGCTCGATGCGGGCTCGACGCGGATGTGGCGCAGATCCGACGCGGATTCGACACGGATTCGACTCGGATCCGACGAGGCCGACATGGATTCGACACGGATTCGACGCGGCTAGGGCCGCGACGGGTCAGACAAGGTCCCCCGAGAATGCATCACAACACTCCAGGTCCTCCACCTCCCAAAAAGGGAGCCGAGCAGATGGGGTCGGAGGATCGTGGCGCATGGCCGATGCATCGGCGACGCGGCACATTGTGGAGCCGTGTGGGGGGTGATGCTCGTCGGGGAGACCAGGGGTCAGGGTTGGTCACGATGCATCTTCGGGGGATCTCGCCTATCCCGAAAATTGTGCCCGACGCGGGCTCGATGCGGAGTCCATGCGGATTTTGCGTGGAATCGACGCGGATTCGAGACGGATTCGACACGGATTCGACGAGGCTGTCATGGATTCGACACGGATTCGACGCGGGTAGGGCTGCGACGCGGACAGACAGGGCCCCCCAGAGGTGCAACAGAAGGTTGGGCAAAGACAGCGCATCTCCACACCCACCAAGTCACCGTTCCCTTCTCTGGGGCTGGGCCAGAGAGCGTCGGCTCCCGATGAGGATGACGGCGCGCAACAGAACCACACGCACCTAAGCAGCACGCAGAGGGCGCAAGCGCAGCGCAGCAGCGGCAGCGTGACCACCAGAACGGTCTGTAACTCTGAAGATTGCCATCGATCACGCATACTGCAAATACAGCCAGTGTCCCCCCCCCCACACAGCTACACATACAGCTATGCTTTAACAGTGAGACGACACTCCTCCTCCTCGCCCTCCTCGCCGCCGTCTCCCCCCCTCCTCCTCCTCCTCCTCCTCCTCCTCCTCCTCCTCCTTCTCCTCCTCCGCCTCCCGCCCTCCCGAGGCGCACTCGGCCTGGGCCCTCTGGAGGCAGGCCCTGGTCCCCGATCCTCGGCCCTCTGTCCCTGGCCCCGCGTCCTCCCTCCTCGTCAAGTGGCGCAAGCAACCTGATGCCGGCAGCATCGAGGGCGAGGCCTTTGGTGACGGCTCCCGCACCTCCCCCGACTCAGTCGAGCGGGCTGGTCCGTGGTCCCGTTGGATGCCAATGGCTGCCGGGTGGCTTCCCTGTGCGGCCTCCTCCCTGGGCCGCACCAGGCGTCGGACCTCGCTGAGGCCTTCGCCCTACGCTTTGGGCCCTGGGGCCCTGGGGCCCTTTCGTTGCCACTCGGATGGCGCCTGGGCCGTGTCGAGCTTGGCGCGTGGGCGCGCCGGAACGACAGGAGCGCAGTGCGAGGCTGCAGGCCTGTGCTCGCGCATCTGGGATCTGGGCGGGGTTTCCGTGATCAAGGTGAAGGGCCACGTTCGCTGTTGTCACGACGACGCGGTCGAGCGGGGCATGATCAAGCGTTGGGGCAATCACTTTGCCGACCTCGGCGCTCGCGAGGGCGCCGCCATCCACCCCACTGACCAGGTGGCGGTGGAGCACGTGCAGCGCTCCTTTCGCCTGGTGACGTTCGTCGCCAGGTTCTTAGCTCGGGTGCTGCGTTCAGCGGGCTCGAGCCGGCAGTATGCGCCGCGACATGGCCAGCTGCGGCGCGCGCAGCAGCGGGGGCGTGTCCCCGTGCTGACGGCAGACACGGTGCTGCCTGAGGGCACGCACGAGCCCGTGCCGTGTGGCAAGGGCTTCCGATGCGGCCGCTGCTGCCGCGTCGCCAGGACGCGCGGGGCCTTCTCGCCTGCGGTGTGCAGCCCAGGCGGCGGCCACCGCGTCTGGAGCGTGGGTTCCTTCCTGTTCTGCGCGAGGTGTGGGGCACACGCGCGTGAGAGCGCCCAGCTCCTCGCGCAGACCTACTTGGGGGCTGCCCCCCCCCCCCCCCTCCCCCACAGACGCAGCTCCTCTCAGGGCGCCTGTGGGCAAGGCAGCACCCCCGCGCTGGCCTGCCTCTGCCCATGGCCAGCTGCCAGGGGAGGCCACGGCCGTTCGCGGATTTCGTCCTCGACGCCCTGGTCGGTGACCTGATCGTCGAGGACAAGGCCGCCGACGGCGCGTAGGCCTCCTGGCCGCGCCTGCTGGCACTCCCCAGCCTGGGGACGTGCTCGGGCTCTTTTCCCTCCGTCGGGCATGTGCCCGAGTCGCCGTGCTGCGCTCTCCCTGCTCCTCCTCCCCCCCCCTCCGCACGCTTGGCGCCAAGCCTGTTGAAACAACTCCCCCCCCTCCTCCTCCTCCTCCTCCTCCTCCTCCTCCTCCTCCTCCTCCTCCTCCTCCTCCTCCTCCCCTCCTCCTCCTCCTCCTCCTCCTCCTCCTCCTCCTCCTCTCCTGGCCGCCGCGCGCCGTTGGCGTCTTCGTGGGGCGCCGCGCCCGCAGGAGAGAATAGACCTCAAGGTGGAGGAGCTGCGGAGGCGCCCCTCGCGAGGAAGGCGGAAGGGAAGAGGAGGGCGGAAAGGGAGGAGGGAGGGAAGGAGGGAAGAGGGAGGGAGGGAGGGAAGGGGGGAGGAGGGAAGAGGGAATCAGGGAAGAGGGAAGGAGGGAGGGAGGAGGGAGGGAAGAGGAGAGCAGGGGGGAGGAGGAGGGACGAGGCGGAGGAGGAGGAGGGACGATGGGGGAGGAGGGGGACGAACATGGGGGAGGGTATGGCGCCCTCTTTGGCCCTTCTGGACTCCTCTTGGCGCTATGTTCGGCGACATTGGAGCCACCACCGTGAGGCGTCGGACGCTCATCGAAAGCGAAAAGGCAAGGGATCCCAAATCTCTGAAGCACACATACGCACAGTTCTTCCAAGCCAAGCAAACAAGTAATATATGCAGCCCATGCTGGAGATCGCCGGTTTTAGCGCATGTTTGAGGCAAACAGATTTAGCATCTAGTCTCCTGCCCGAGATTATAGCACACATATTCGAGGTAAGATGCAGACCTCGGTACCTCTAGCCTTCTGGCCGCTGGCCCAGCCTGCACTTTGGGAGGTGCGTGTGGTCGAGCATCGCAACATTGATGCCATTTTACTGTGATGATGTGCGCCCATACCGAGCCATCCTTTTTTACGTTGCGTAAAAGTTGTGATGACGCTGTCGCAACAGGATGTCGTATAAGGCCAATGCTGGCCAGAGTTGGCCCCCATGTGCGTACAGTTTTTGAAAGATGAGATCACCAACGCTCTGGGCCCTCCTTGATTGTTTCTCGGACCGCCTCGGGGATATGGTTGGAATGCCACTGGGGCCACCTTTGGCCGTGTTGGCCGTCAGGGAGCCTCGTCGACCGTTTGAAGATTGTCTATATATGCAAGCCTTTGGGCCCTGTTGAGTACGGCGGAGGCCCATTCCACGAAAAATCCTGCTTGCCTTCAGGGTGCCCTGGGTTTCTTGGGTTTCTTTGGTTTCAGCTATGGCAAGCGTGACGTTCCCACACCAAGAATCCATGGACGTCCTAGGGTCTCAGGGTTGGGCTTCTTGTGGAAGGTTTATTGTGGTCGGGCCCCTACTTTAGAGGCTGTCTATATATGGAAGCCTTGGGGCCGTGTTGAGTAAAGTTTTACCCAGCCAGCCAGAGCCATATAGCCCATGACATCGACCACGCGTCGATGATTCAAGCCCTACGGAGGCCTCCGGAGATCCCCCTCGGAGCTGCAACAGGGATGCCCCTGGGGCGTGTCGAGAAGTCCTCCAGGGGCCTGGCTCTGTGAGGGAATGGCAGGGCTCATTTCGATCCCGCCGATTCGAATTGATTCGATCTCGATGGATTCTGATTCGGATCGGACTCGATTTCGGATTCCGATCTGGGATCCGATTTCTCACTGGAGGCCTAGTAGGCTGCCGATGTCCGCCGATTCGACTTTTCCCCGACTCGGCTGCCGATGTCCGTCGATCCGATTCATGCCGGTTGCCGATCCGACTCGTCGATCCGAATTCGAGCTCTCCTGGGATGGCCCCGAGGTTCGAGCGTGGCAGTTTTGTCACACTGGGCGTGTTTGCGCCCGATTTTCGGGCCCTGGGACCATCACAGATCGGCCCGGCTCGCAACGTGCCGAAGAGCTGTGGGATGTTAGGGCTCGGGTCGTGAGTGTTCGCCATGCTGCACATAATGTTGGGTGTACAGTCGACACACATACAGACACTGAGTGGGTCGCAGAGGCACCATGGATATGTCACGCTTCTGGGCCATCATAGATTGCCGTGGCGAAGCAGTCGTCATACTCCGTGATGGAGTTTCGTATCCCTCTCAGTATTCTCGACGGCGAGCGAAGGGTGGAAGTGAGAAGGAGACGGCCTTCTCAGAAGGCGGCGGGACTCCTCAGCAGCCCTCGCGCCTTCTGAGAGGTTTTGTTTTCTGTCTTCGGGGAAGGCTTAGAAAACTTCTCGGAAGGCCGGGAGATTTCCGAGCCTTCTGAGCCGGGAGCCTTGAGACGGGGGTCAATCCAAACGGGGGTCAGCCAGAGCGCCCGATCTTACATGATCCTGCAGGGCCAGGGCCGCACTGACCCGGGTCAGGGTACAGGATGTTGCAGGATCTTGCATGATCCTTCGCGTTTATTCTGGGTTTCGGTGCAGGATCTTGCAGGATTCTGCAAGGCCTCCGCCCTTTCTGCTACCCCAGGCCTTCCCTGGGTTGCCACACTTGTCCTATCATTATGAGATCGGTGTGTGAGGATATGTTTCGTTATCGTGCATGTTCTCTCTTATGTCTGTGAGAGATTGTGGTTTTCTCACCTTTTCCCATCCGTCTGCCCCGTCCTGCACCCTGACTCGGCGCGTCTCCTTCATGTGCTCGCTGCTCCTCCTCCTCCTCCTCCTCCTCCTCCTCCTCCTCCTGTCGGTAGAGCGCCGATGCCCTTGCCGAGAGGTCGACGATGCGATGTGTGGCCGGGTGATTTCCGAGCCTTCTGAGCCGGGAGCCTTGAGACGGGGGTCAGCCAGAGCGCCCGATCTTACACGATTCTGCAGGGCCAGGGCCGCACTGACCCGGGTCAGGGTACAGGATGTTGCAGGATCTCGCATGAGCCTTCGCGTTTATTCTTGGTTTGGGTGCAGGATCTTGCAGGATCTTGCAGGATTCTGCAAGGCCTGATTAACCCGGGTTTGGATTGACCCGGGTCAGAAGATCCCCGACTGAGAAGGCCTTCGCCTTCTCACTTCCCCCCCTCGCTCGCCGCCGATGTTCCCATCGCAGTATGCTGGCGAGTGTGGTGTCTCGCCCTTCCCGTCTTGTCCGTCTCGGGCCAGGCCCAGCTGGGGGAGCCGTGGTCCTTCTGCACGGACCATCGCTTTCGATACCCTTACCGAAAGATCGACGATACGATAGGGGGTTGCGGAACTCGACTCCTCCTCATCGTCCTCCTCCTCCTCCTCCTCCACCTCATCGTCCTCCTCCTCCTCCACCGCCCCCTCCTCCTCCTCCTCCTCCTCCCCCTCCTCCCCCTCCTCCCCCTCCTCCTCCTCCTCCTCCTCCTCCTCCTCCTCCTCCTCCTCCTGTCGGTATAGAGCGCCGGTGCCCCTGCCGAGAGGCCCACGATGCGATGTGTGGCCGGTCGGCACCGGCCCGTGCCGCGGAGAGTGCGGCCCGGGGCCGCCGTCGGACGCCAGGCTCTTCGCCTACCTGGTGGAGGGTGGGCAGCGGGGCATCACCAGGACCGCGCGCCGGGCCGAGCGCGCTCCCCAGACCCCCTCGAGTCATGAACAAAATCATGGCGGTAGGTTTTTCGCTATTTTCGGCATCTGGGGGCCTTTACCGGCCCTCGGGGCCGTCAAAAAACGACTCAGGAGGAAGAACCGGTCCCGGGGAGTGGGTCCAGACCGCTGGGGATCGACGCCATGAAAAAATCATGACGTCGGGGGTCTGGGTCTCGCGATCCGCGGGGGGGGATCCTCATCCCAGGGCTCGTTTCGATTCCTCCGGTTCGCGTCGATTCGGCTTCGAGGGCTTCCGATTCCGATGCGGCCTCGGCTTCGGCCTCCGAGTGGGACTCCGATTCCTCACTGGAGGCGTGTCTGCCTGCCGATTTCCGCCGATTCGACTTCTCTCTCGACTCGGCGGCCGAATCCCGCCGATCCGGTGCATTTCGATCGCCGATCCGACTTATCGATTCGATTCTGGGCTCTCCTGGCGGGGGGGATCCTCATTCTGTCCCCCGAGCGATCGAGGAACGAAGAACAATTGCAGCAAACAACAATTCGGAGGCGCGCGGGTTTCTCGCGTCGCTGGAGGTGCCTCCGGGGCCGCCGCCCGGGTCCGAGCATGTGTTTTCAGCCACCTGTTTTGATGTTGCTGGCGATGGGCATCGCCCATTTCGACTGACGTGTGGATCTGCAAATTAGCTTGGATGTTCGTTGGCGCCTGGATGATTCGTGCGCAGCAGAGGTCGCCACCGTTTTCCCTTGCGGGAGGCGAGCCTCTTTCGATATTGCTGACGGGGAGGCTTGTTCGATTCTGACAAGCTTGCGGTTTTTGTTGTTTCTCGTTGACGGTTATGGGTAAAAAAGCGCCGTTTCGTAGAGACATTGCGCGGTACGTATCCCTGTGATCGCGAATCCATGGGAGTTTGCACCAGTGTCTGGACCTCGAGGGCATGCATATTTGTATGTCTACCGCTCGTGGCAGAGATCGCCCCCTCGTCGTCGTGGTGTGGAGGGTTTCTCCGAAGGGCTTAGGCGACCCGTCCTCCTCCTCCTCCTCCTCTTCCTCCTCCTCCTCCTCCTCCTCCTCAACTACTCAATATGAAGCATGTGTTTTCAGCCACCTGTTTTGATGTTGCTGGCGATGGGCATCGCCCATTTCGACTGACGTGTGGATCTGCAAATTAGCTTGGATGTTCGTTGGCGCCTGGATGATTCGTGCGCAGCAGAGGTCGCCACCGTTTTCCCTTGCGGGAGGCGAGCCTCTTTCGATATTGCTGACGGGGAGGCTTGTTCGATTCTGACAAGCTTGCGGTTTTTGTTGTTTCTCGTTGACGGTTATGGGTAAAAAAGCGCCGTTTCGTAGAGACATTGCGCGGTACGTATCCCTGTGATCGCGAATCCATGGGAGTTTGCACCAGTGTCTGGACCTCGAGGGCATGCATATTTGTATGTCTACCGCTCGTGGCAGAGATCGCCCCCTCGTCGTCGTGGTGTGGAGGGTTTCTCCGAAGGGCTTAGGCGACCCGTCCTCCTCCTCCTCCTCCTCTTCCTCCTCCTCCTCCTCCTCCTCCTCAACTACTCAATATGAATACTACTCTCCCTCTTGCCCTGATGACGGTTTGAAAGTGTCCGACCCCCCCCCCGCGTATTGTTTTTTACACACAGGTTTCCCCGGAGTTGGGTTTTCGCCTGCATTTGTTTTCAAAATGCTGCTCTCGTTGAGGCGCCGGCCTCATTTTCGGGCCCCGCTCGTTCCGAATCGTGCTCCCGCTGCAGCGGTGGCCTCATTTCCGTGCCTCCGCTCGTTCCGAATCGTGTTCCCGCTGCAGCGTTGGCCTCATTTCCGCGCTTCCGCTCGTTTCGACTCGTGCTCCCG